GATAAAATAATTAATTTTATTGAGCTGAGTTGCAACTGTTTTAGAGTGAATACTTGCATAAAATCACAAATATCACCTTGACCATATTGAATAGTGGATTTCAGAAGATCCATATACTAAGTATTATTTAGAACATGCTTAATGCTTTATTTTGAATCGTTCAAAATTATTCTAGGGCTCCGGAATTACAAACGGCATTAACCAGACTCCCACTAAGGCGAACTCCTGCTATACAATGGCGCACTCGGGTTTCCCGCCTTTGGTTGATACGACAGCTCGCCTCAACGGAGCCCGATTCGGCCTCGGGGACCCTGAAGATGTCAACCTACCAACTATTGACACTGTCGCCTTCCAAAGTCAAGAAAGGGCTGAGGCCGCACGGCAGTCACAGGAAGCTCTCGAGTTGACCGGTGATGTAAGGGCTGTCAACTTCACTTATCTGGACCACTTGCCGCTCACAATATAGCTGGTGCTTGAGCAAACATCGATAACTCGCTTACCTTCAGGTTTTTTTGTGCATCTCCGAAGTACAACTGAACCCAGCCTAGAGCAAATGGCTGTATTCACATTCAACTGAATGCAAGAGATCATGGCATAGACATTTTCAGACAACACATGCAGCAACACATTTAATGGACTTTGCTGTGCAAAAGATGATTTGCGCTTAATTTAATTGAGTTTTTTAAGCAGTATATTCACACAGCGAAGGAAAATTGGGTGGAAAAATAAGGGATCAGATGAGTGTCGATGATTCCGATATTTGCCCCTAACCATATCATTCCACTATTTTATTACTCCATATGAAGAGCCTTTGTCTCGCTTATGGCTTTTATATTCCACTGTCATAATTATTTGTCCACCGCAGGGTATATTTATCTTGCCGCCTTATTTATACATAAATGAAAATATTCAACTTTTGACTGCCTATTTTGCAAATAGTCAACGTCACGAATTTGGATAAATCTCTTATAAACATCGAGGAAATCAAGTCAATTCTACTGATAGCCATACGTTTCATTGATAAATGTGCATTTTTGCCCTTTTTCTGTCACGACTGCATTCATATGGTAAAGCTTGATATGCGTGTTCATGCTAAAGTGAGGTTGGCTGTTATTTTCAAAGTAGCTTATTAACCAGACAACTCTTGCCTATCCATCAGAAGAAGCCACCTTACCAATAGCCTTTTCAGCACATTGCCAAAAATTAACGTTTAAGGTGATTAACTCAGCAACACTTATGACCATTCACACACTAGTCCTGTTTAGTCATTTTCTACTATTTATATTCAAATGAGCTTGATATTTTTTCTCCATATGAAACTGTTGATTCATTCACTTTGGGTGTTTTTCCGATATTACCCAGACATACCTTTGTGGGCGGGACATTTAGAATAGTGTTTAACCTTTTGCATTTATCTTCCTTCAATACCTTTATACCCCACAAAATAACATTCTCCCCCAAGAGAAAGCCCGACCCTATTTCCCCCGGTGAAATCTTATTCCTTCCCAATGCAGTGAATTAAAATAATACATATTTTTTAACAAACAAGACAAAACTCCTGCTGCCAGCATGACAGGGCTGAACATCAACACTTACTTTAATTCAATCCCTCCATTTATGTGATGCCCCCGAAGAAACATCACACTAAAGAGCTTAATTTATTCACATACCAAATACTTTTAAGCCCCTCTAGATCTCTTGCAATCCCTAAACTTTTCTAGGCTTGTAATGCCTATTTTGATTAAGAAGTCTCTGCATTTCTCTTTTTACTTGAAGATGAGCTCATCATTCATTTTATAATGAATTTAAAAATAATAATTTGTAAGCTGGAATAAATACTTACTTTTCCATTACCTGCTAAATGCAATTAAGTAAAGGAATAAATTAATACGACTAGTAAGTTTAACTCTAAATTATATTATCATAAAAGTGTGAATTATCGTGTGTTGACACGTTTACCAAGATGACTTGAGCTTTGGTTTGATCGCAATAACCTTTTATGGTTTGACCGCGTCTTCGCAACTTAGTCGTGTAATCATAGAAACTGTGACGAATTTACCTCCTATTGGGTCCCTTGCCAGTGGCGTCATTCTTAGTTCCGTGCTACAATTGATCGATGTGTCAATTGAAGTCGATCTCCTTCACCAAGTTTAGTTAAGGAATTAGACTTGATAGATATGCTTCACTGAAACAGTCTCAAAGCAGATTGCTTTATTCATAAAGTTCATTTCAATCTAATATCTAGTATCAGGGACTGATTCGTTCCTTATTCCAACTGAGTTAATGAACTCCCACTTATCTACTGCAAGAATGCTTCCTTTGTTCCCACAAAAAATCATGGTTCTGCTCTCTTAGAAATCAAAATATGTCAGTCAACACTGACG